CCTCTAGAGTAGGGCTCTTAAGAACTCACCTAACTTAATTAGGATAACTCGGCGCAAGATGGCATAAATTAGCCAAACCTACCAATACATGACACGAATAACGCCTATATTAAATACTAGTACTATCTACGGTACTATTACTTATAGAGAATCCACTCTTAGGATAAAAGTATCCTTTTAAGGGGGATAATGTTAGACCTCCCCTACTATAGACTAGGCGGCTGACTCTAAGGTTATGTGACTTAGACTATATAGCACTAGGAGCTGGCGGGTAGAGCCCATTAGTAATTCGTCTATTCTATACCTAAATGCTACTATCTCTCTACTATTAAAGTTAAGGCTATACTATTCACCCCATACCTCTAATATTAGCCTTCTCTTAATATTTATTGCATCGTACTATCGTATGGTATAGGATATTCACCTAACCTCTTTGGTACCACCATCCCTTACACTTAAATTACTAAATACCCACAAGGTCTAAACCTATGGTTAGGTACGTGGAAACCCCTTATAACAACACCGGTTTTAGGGAAGTTAAGTATTATTTACTTAATACTATTAAGTTATCCTTTCACTATTAATCCTAGCGTAAAGTAAATACTATTACCTATAGCTAGATCTTACATCTACTCCCTATCCATTTCTACTATTTTACTTCCCTACTCTCGCTCCCGCGCTTCCGCTCCCCTACTAAGGTAGGGGAGTGAAGAAGGTAGGATAATATAGAAGGATCTAGTAGCTTAAAGTATTATAGGGTATGGCTATAATATAGATATATATACTCATATTACCTACTATTCTTACCCTCTCTCATCTATGGCGTCGTGGGGTAATAGTAAGGGTAGAAGGAGAGAATTTAGTATAGTATCTACTTTAGGTTAGTGCAGCTAGTAGATTTAGTACGTTATTTATTTTAGGTTAGCCTATCTACCTTATATACCTTAGATAGGTGCTATAGGGTACTATAATAATGCTAAGCCACTTTTCCACCTCTAGAGGAGGAAGAGGTTCAGAAGGCTACTATGGTAGAGGATTATAGTGGAAGAGGGAGCTAGATAGTAGGAGGTGGATGGTGGGGGGAGAGGGCTTAGGGTTAAAGGTAAGAGGTAGTGCGCTATCTTCCTTAGGGTTTAGCACCTTGCTTAGCTACCACTAGCCTGGAATTGGCATACCCTCCCTCCTTCCCCCCTCCTTCCACCCCCTTCCCACCGCGATGGCACCGCGGCCACGACCTCGCTGGCCTTAAGAAGGAGATTGTTGGAATCGCGTGCACTCGCTGCGTCGCTGGGTGCCCTAATCGCGAAAACTTTTTCTAGGTGACCTGGCCTAACCCTAACCTAGGGACGGGCTTTCATTTCCGCGCGCTGTAGGCGCTGTAGGGAGACTGGCCATAACTCGCGAATATGTAAGAAGGATACTAGAGATGCAGCTTAATCTAGCATAATGCGTATATTCTATTATTTTATCTTGTTGTTGAGATAGATTTCTATGAAGTGGTGAAAAGTTGGTGGGGTGCGCCGCTCGCTTGCCAGGTACGTTACACTGTATTGCAAAAAGCTTATTTGCGCTCTTGGGATCTAGCAGATCTGGACCACTCTGCAGCTCCAAATGTGCAAAGAGCATCCTAGCCCTTTCACAAGCTTTATCCATTCTGGCCTCCATGGCGTCATAAGTAGCCCTGGTCTCTTTGTGACCTGGTTTAAAACCTGCTTGAAAACCACGTTTGAGGCCCATCTGCAACCCCAGGTAGTAGTCTGATGAGTAGGAACGGTCAGAAACGACCGGCGGAGTGTCCGGTAACGTAAAATCATTGCCTCCTTAACACAAGCATCAGTAACCTATACAAACAGCGGGTTCAGGTAAGATATTTACCATATTGTTGGAGATACAGTTCCATGTAAGCGTTCTTGACATCTTTCTGCCGAGAGTCCGACGGTAAGCCCGACACATTGTCGACCTCATCGCCCTCGCAGTGACCGTCAATGCTGTAGTCACTACCACTCTTTGAGGACGTATCACTTTCTGTGGAGGAGGGACCTTGGAGAAACATTTTGTCTGGAAAACGATGTATGCAGGATTTGAAGGAAGGAAACTCTCAGAGTGGGGAGTCTTTTGCGTGTCGGGGAGTAGAAGTGCACTCGGACCAGTGATCGGCATGGAGGGAGACCCTGCCACCTCCACGATTCACCTCCATCTCCATGCCGCCGTGGAAACTCCATATATTTCTGAAACGGCCTGATCAACCTGTTGAGTAGTAATGAGACGTCGTTCGTCGCAACAGGATGGAGAGAGCGTCCGTGCGCGGAGTGTTTCAATAGAGCTTCCAACGTCGCTTCATCAATCGTATACTAGTTCCTATCAACACCTTCATCACTATCTCTGCTAGTAAGAACGAGATCGTAGAGGTCCTCGAGCCCTTTAAGGATGCTACAAAGTAGCTTGAAGCCAGGCCAAACGAAGCACCAGCGAGTGGCTTTGCGGATGTAGTCCCTGTTTTGAAGATCCTCATGGAGAATATCGAGGACTTTAAGATCAACTACTGCGAGGCACATGGCGGGAAGCCATTTTTGGGTAGCCATCGAGCAGGCGTGTCAAAAGGCGAAGTACTACTGCGAGGTCACGGATCTCAAAGCCCGGCGTACGCTGCTGCGATTATCCTTGATCCGCGGCAAAATGTATCGGTTTCTTCAGGTGGAGAAAGCGTCTGGCTTGACTGTGTTGTTCGACTAGAAATCAGAGACGTCCCGCTTATAAGGGATGTCTCATCTCGGGTAGGCTAGCTACATCTGGCCATTCAACCGTTACAAGAAACCTTGAGCCGATAGTGACATGGATAGACATGGTTTCAGAGGGCTACATACACACGAGTTGTTCAACCTTGTGCAACGATCAAGCTACCAAGCGCTGCCGCAGCATCGTGCGTGGAATCCACAGCCTCTTGGCTTATAAGTCTTCCAGATTCCCGGAAATGTTGAAACCTTTCTTTCCAGAACCGTAGCCGTTTGACATCCACGGTATTGGTGCCGCCCTCAGCCTCCCACAAACTACCAGAGATGTATCCAGCCACGCCAGAAGGCGGCCCTGGATTCACTAATTCTTTGCCTGCAATAACGAGCCAGGTAGCCGCTGCTCGAACTGCAAGGTGCGACCATTTTCCACGCTCCGTACCAGGACTGTGCTCCAGAAAAGCGAACACTATGAAGGCGCAGTGGAGACAACTGCACAATGGGGATCCTTCTGGAGGGTGTTGTTTTGCTATTAGAGCGGCGAATGTGTTAATGTTCGTGTACTTCTCTTCGGCTTGGCGATCCATCTGATGCTGGTCCTTGCGTCCAGGTATAGAGAGCGGTAAGAAGTTAGGAGGCCCGCGTTCGAGATCGTCCCCCACACGGAATGCAAAATCCGGCAGTCCAGACCATAACCCTCCTCCAGAAATGCAGGGGACCACGATCCTTTCTCCTGGTAGAATCACAACATGACTTGATTCGAACTCTAATGGTCTCTCTTTATTGTTGTACGCATCAGGCTGATTTGCGAGTTCAACTGTAAGATCTGCCAGAATCTCCAGGTCTTTTTGGGATGAAAATTGACTTGTGGCTGAGAACAAAACGCCCATCATATTGGCATAGGCCGTGTTTATATCATAGCAGATATCATTATCTGGGACTGAAAGCACCCAGTATGAGATCTGCTTTGCTGCCGTTGCCGGCGTAATGTTTTCATCCAATGTGTCCGTGAAGATTTGTAGCAGGGCCACTTGGGAGGATCCAGGCTCCGGAAACTCTTCGAACTCCATGGACGAGTCCACTTCTCGTCGACGCACCTCGTGTCCAATTGCGAGCCATTTTAGTTGCCTTTCCTTCCAGGTTTCGGTCATCTTTGTGATGTAAGTCTTATAGTCGCAATATGATTATAAATGTCTTCAAATTGAAGTGAGTATGATTAAATAATAAGTGTAGAATAGCTATTCACACAGCTCGCTAACCACCCCCACCAGTGACGTCATTCGCCGCTTTCAGGCTGACCACATCAGTCCAAGATAAAGTTAGGCCATCCACTAAGCGCAGCCTCCAACTGTCACGCTGAAGGTTGTAACCTACCGAACAAAAACAACCGCCCGCCTCGACTTCCCTCTCACCCCTTTCTTCATGGCTACGTCCCCACATCTATACCAATATATTCTCCCCGCAGGATCACCGTATATCACCTCTTGGATTGCGGGACTTCCTCCATCGCCCCCCGGCCCCACGCATCTCGAACGCACCCGCCTGCCGAAGCGCAAGCGCGCTAACTCCTCGCCCATGGCCACCGCACCACGCGACCCAGCCCTGAGAAGCGCCGAAGAGTCGATGATGATGCACGCCCGGGTAAAGCGCATCTGATACTGACTCGAGCATCCGCTCGATGTGGGCCGACACAATACCTTCAGCCCGCTACGTTAGGTAGTCAAATTTGCAGTCGCCGGGGCAGCCGCGCCGTGCGGGCACATCATCGCGTCGACGCGGCATTAGTCCATTGCGCGAGAGAATCGTGCCGCGGAAGATGCATCGCCTGCAATCTGACAGAGCCATACGATGGCGCGCAGCGGCAAAGAACGCTATCAGGGACAAGGTAATGGACGCCATGGAGCGACTTGGGCCGTGGTAAGTCGATGGCTGGGTGCTGCGATGCCTCAAAGTATGTGCGCACACGCACTCGGCGTTCAGATCTTCGATCGATATGCCTTCACTGATTCTCCTTGCAACGTTTCCGATGAATTCCATCTCTCTGCGAGGAGCTACGATACACATTGGGTAAGGTGAAGCAGATATTCAAGCGCGCGAGGTCGTGCAAGACGAGGGGTCGTGATGAGAACGCTTTGTCAACTCGTGATCCAGCCGTTAATGGTGCTTGACATGCTTACTGCACTTGAGGCATGAGGAGAGCTTAGGAAGATTGTAGACGTAAACGTCTCGTCTGTTGTAGGCAATAGTAGACAGCTATTCTTTTTTCGCTATCGTGCCTGTCTATCGACACAGCCCTGACAATATCGACTTCAGTCCTAGTCAACCCTCTCCAGCCTCATAACCCGTCTCACTCCTTTCACAACCGGTCCCCACCTTTGCACACTACCCTCCACCATCATGCTTGTCCTCTGCGTCTGAATCATCAGTCTCGCATCCGCTCAGCTCCAGCCAGCGCTTAACCTCATGACCGGTTAGGCTCTTGCCAGCCCAGACTTGCTCAGCCCAGGTGTTATCCTGCATCCAGGATTGTTCAGGATCAGAGCGGAGGCGTTCACTACCTAACCACTGCTGGGCTAGTTTGGAGATGGCGGATGCTGAGAGAGAGAGAGAGAGGATGCTATGATGCAGGGTACTTCTGCGTTTTCGGGTTGAGAGGAGGGCTCGGTCGGGCATGATGGGGATGGTGACGATGAGGATGTTGACATGGTTGTTGATGGTGATGATATAGTAAGACAAGGTGATGGTTTCCGCCGTTTGGTGTGTCCGCGCGAGTGATCTTGCGGAAAAATGTCGTTGTCGCCACTTGTGTTTGTACGTTTTCGGGGATTCGGTAAGGAAGCAGGTGTGTTAGCTCGAGTGTGTACGACAACACCGTCAACAGGTCCACTATCAGGCACATCTCCATCTGGGTTGCGTTTCTTCGGGCTCTGTGACCGCTTTCTGCTCGCCGGCTGAGAGAACCGTTCACAATAAGCAGCTGAGAGGAAGCCACGGGAGAGCATTTGATTGTGGGCAGCAATCCGAAGAGTCAAGCGGCGGTCTTGCACGAGAGGAATGCGCCGAGCAGCGGGAACAGCGTCCATGCGAAGCGTACGAAGAGCAGCTCAGCGCTGACTTTTGACTCGTGGAGATCAGCCCGCAAGAGCATGACATTGGCCGTCTCATCTAACGAGTAGCCCATACCATTGTTATAGCGAGCCATGTCGTTTGCCTGCCACCAGTCCAGTTCCACTTGCGGCACAATATGCGCAACTTGTAGCTCCTCTTTGTGCCCGGTTATCCGACAGCAGCCGTCACGTACTGTCAAAGCGGCGGTAAGCTTGGAAGGCGTGAAAGTCGCGTTTGACGTTGTGTTCGATAAAGATGAAAGCTGCGCCCAATGGGCAGGCAGGCGATCGTGAGGAAGCGCCATTCGCGGAACGAAGGGACAATGGGATATGGACAGTCGGATCCGGTGCTGTCTTCGAGGTGGAGTAGTAGCTGCGCGCATGTAATGGGCTACCGGCAGCAACTCGGTTGTTACGCGCGAGTTCCGGGTCGCGATCTGATGAGAGCCAGCCGTCGGTGCGATCGTCTGCGATTATCGCGCACGCGTCCAGTGCCAATTGTGCGTAGAGGCCTGGGCGCCTGGGCTGTGCGGGCTCGCCATCGCGACTGCAGATTGTGTCGCTCGCATGGAGCTTGAAAAGCACATTGTTGCTGTCATCGTGACCGGGGTGGCGGAAGAAGATGAAGAAGCGACTGGGCGCCGCTGCCAGGATCTGAACCCGCACATGGGCTGCTACCTGGCCTCCCCTTCCCCTTGTTGATCGGCTTCGGCACCCACGCGAGCCACCATTGACGTTCGCGCGCGAGTCGCGTTTGGGAGGCACAACTAGCCCTTGGTGGAGGATCGTGAAATTACGGTTACCAGGAAAAGGTTCGTCCGAGCTCTCTGCAATGGTTCTCCAACTGCGCTTTGATATCGAGATTGCCCGCCGCATTGCCTGTCCTGGTCGATGCCCCTGGCGATGCCTGTCAGTCCACCATCCAACAACAAGCATTCAAGTCCAATTTTCTCTTATTGTGTCCTTTTGGTTTTGCTGCGCCTCTTCTGCCGCCCGGTGGTCCGTTGCGAGTATGCCTCTCCTGAATCGCATGCAAAGAACCGATGTTAGCACGCCGGTAGCGAAGACGAGAACAGGAATAAGAAGATACCGTGCTGCTCGCAGTTCATGGCAGACGGAACGCGCGTCGCTGCTAGTCCCTAATTCACATGCCCATCTCTCCGGAGTAAAGGAATTTCTGCTTTCAGAGTATGTGTAGCCGAGGATGATCAAAGGCCTGAGAACGATGAACGTTGCGACAAAAAGAACGATATTCCAATAAAGCGTGCTGATTGTGACCAACTGCATTTTGTCAGATTCCATCACATCTCTGCAGGTTCGAATGCATACTTGATGACGGCGAAAGGCTTTCGCGCTGAGGCACAGCAAGAGGAACATATCGACAACGCCCCCAGAACCAGCCCACATCAGCATACGAATGCCGATAGAGTCGGCACGGACGGGAATAAGTTCGTTGATTCTGTCTTTTACCACGATGCTATGCGTTGTGAGGCCGAGGATGGTAATGCAAAGGCAGCCAACGACCACGTTGAGCACGTGCAGTAAAAGTATTGATTTTTCCATGATAGGTTTACGGTTCGGTGTGCATTCCCAGTGATGAAGACATATGGGTGAGTCTTGTTATACATACTTCTGATTAGCAGGGGTCCCAGCATTGCCAGGATCACGTGTCGAGGTATGCGAGTGCGAAATCCTCCTACGTTCTAGCGACTCTGGACCAAGGCGCAGCGATGGATCCCGCGCATTTGACTTGCTAGAGTGCATTGGTATGTGCAGGGAATTATCAGTAGGTATCTAGAGCTGCCATAGGTAGGTTGCTGAAGGGCGCAGGGGGCCAGAAGCGATCTGGGTGTGTCGTGACGTCAAGCGTAAGGCTTGCCACAAGCGAATGCGAAATTAGGCCTGATGAAGCAGCGACGATCAAAAACATCCGGTCAAGTTTCATACTATGTATGGCAAGCGAGCGCCGCAGGCAAGCGAGCGCCGCACCCCACCAACTTTGCGCACCTCTCTCATCTCAACGTACAATGGCTCAACGTAACACCACTCAATTAGCTCCAAACGAAGCAGATATACAGCTTGCTATCTCATCTATTTGTTCCTATCAAGTCCAGAGCAATCGTAGAGCTGCCGCTATCTACGGCGTGTCTGAACGATCGATTCGCCGCGGACGCGCTGGTATACCTGCTCGACGCGATTGCCAGCCCAACTCTAGGAAGCTCACCCAGCTAGAAGAGGAGGTGATTATCAAACATATACTCGACTTAGACGCCCGTGGATTCGCGCCTACGTACACAGCTGTACGTGATATGGCTGATAAGCTGCTAGCTGCGCGCGGCGCTGGTCAGGTTGGACAGAAGTGGCCGCGCAACTTTGTCAAGCGTACCGACAGTCTTACGACGCGTTTCAATCGAGCGTACGATAGGCAGGGAGCTCTATGTGAGGATCCTGTGTTGATCAGAAGCTGGTTTGAGCTTGTGGAGGAGACAAAGGCCAAGTACGGCATCTGCGATGATGACTACAACTTTGATGAGGCTGGCTTTATGATGGGCAAGATTACGACTCAGCTTGTCGTAACAGAGAGAAGAGGAAGACCAAAGGCTATCCAGCCAGGCGATCGTGAATGGGTAACGTTGGTTGCTGCAATCAACGCAGCTGGCTGGTCAATCCCACCATTCCTCATCTTTGCTGGCCAGTATCATCTATCTGCCTGGTACGAGGAAGCAGAGATCCCACGCGACTGGCTATTCGCAGTCAGCGACAACGGCTGGACGAACAATGAGCTAGGATTAGAGTGGCTAAAGCACTTCAACGCTTATACAAAGACTCGCGTTGTTGGTGCACGTCGCCTGCTTATCCTTGATGGCCATGAGAGCCATCACTCTCTTGAGTTTCAAGAGCTCTGCAAGGAGAACAATATCTACACGTTCTGCATGCCGCCTCACTCATCGCACCTACTCCAGCCTCTTGATGTTGGCTGCTTCTCGCCGTTGAAGCGTGCGTACAGCCATTAGGTTGAGAGTCTAATCGGCCACTATATCAACCATATCACCAAGCTCGAGTTTCTGCCAGCCCTTAAGGCAGCGTTCAATCAATCGTTCACGTCAACTAATATCTGCTCAGCTTTTCAAGGCGCAGGCATTGTGCCTCTCCAACCAGACGTTGTACTATCAAAGCTTGACGTGCAGCTGCGTACACCTCCAGGTGCTTCACCAGAGGCTCTCTGGGAGGCTCGTACGCCAAGTAACGCACGTGAGCTTGAGGCTCAATCAACGTTAATACGTGATCACGTCCGCCGGCATAGGAGCTCGTCACCAGCTTCGATTATTGAGGCAATTAATTAGCTCAAGAAGGGCGCTGAGGTGATGATGCTCTCAGCTGAGCTCATGCGCGATCGGATCACCAGTCTTGAGAGAGCCAACGAGGCAGCGTTAGCGCGTAAACAGCGTAAGAAAAAGCGAATATAGTAGCGTGGGGTCTTAATAAAGGGAGCTGGAGAGGATCTACTTGCTCAACGTGAGGCTGACGAGCAGATTGCTCGTGAGCAGCGTTAACGAGGAGAGCGATTAGGCGTAAGTTGCTAGGCTCTGGCGCGCTGCATAAGGTGTAGAGAGACTAGATATAACTCACGTATATATAAAAAGGATAGTTAGATACTATTCAATCTACTATATTAATTTCTGTGACGTGAAACGCCATTGGGCAGCTCCTCTTCGGAGCTCCCTTGTATGCTCAGGGAGCTTCCTATACGTATATGGCTAGTTCTGCGCTTAGACCTGGCAATATCTCTATATATGGAGCGTGGGAGCTCTCTCCCACACTCCAGTGATAATACTATAGATCACCCTGAACTGCTTGCCAAGCTCCCTCCAACAGTTATGAGCCCGGCGCTTTGAGACGTAGGACATCTCCCCCTACACGATCAAAATGAGCTTCTAGGACGCAGTTCAGCCGCTCTAACAAACCAAAATGTCGACAATGAGCACCGCAGCCACACATACGGAGATCATCCTAAGAGACCGAGCTTCATGGCCAACATGGTACATACAGTTCAAGTTCCACGCGCGGAATCGATTCCCCAGCTCCATACGAAGTTAAGCCGCGCCCTCCAGCGGTCCCCGAGGACCCACTACCGATCAACTTCAAAGCTAAATACGAGCTGGAGAATATGCGCTTCATGGCAGAATCGCATATATGGCAAGAGACTACAGCGCGCACACAAGAGCTATAGAACTGGGTAAACGCAACTGTGGACTTAGAACTGCTTGCGCCAGCGATAATGGCGCTTGTTGAGTACAGCACTCTAACGCTCTAGGCGCTTATCTGGAAGCTCTGGAGTGACCTTACTCCTTCGGAAATGAGCACCATAAATCATATACGAGTACAATACCAGGAGCACCTCTAAAATACTAGACTGGGGAATCAATCTCTAGAGGTATGGGTAAGAGAATGGCACGTGCTCTATATGAAGGCACGCTCATATAAAATTGTGGAGGTTACTAGGCAACTCACTACACAAGACTTTCTTAACGTAGTTATAAAGTTCGTACCTAACTAGGCGCACAACGCGCAACAATTACTTATTTAAGATATAGTTATTAGTAGAACACCTATGACGCTTATAGAGCTTAGAAGAGTATTTTTAGTACTTACTTAGGAAGATAGGACGTACTTAATAACCTCAAGAGTCTTTGCAACGCTTGGGGATGAGCAAGGAAAGAATTAGCATAAGCCTAGAGATAAGAGTAGGAAGCTATACAAATGCCTATACGCACATGGATCCCATTAGTGGGAACTAATTATATATTGACTGGTTCTAGCTGTAGTAGGTAATAAGAGATTTAAAATTAGTTAAGACGCGCGTATAGAGCTAATTAAGAAGCTCCTAGTAAGTTAGTTTAATACTCTACGTGTAGTACTGGCAAAGAAAGGTTATAAGATTGAACCTAGTAAAAATAAGCTTAGTAGATAGTTTCCTAGAGCAATTATAGTAGCTCTTATTAATCCGCAGCTCCTATGAGATGTGTTAAAGACAGTAGGAGCTTACTATATAATGGATTTTAATGCTCACCTACTATCCTGGTCTACTATCTTTAATAATAGGGCTATAGTTCACCTTGTCAATGATGAATAGCTCCTAGAACCTGGCACGTTTATAAAAGCCCTTGAGAAGCACACTATAGAAGCTGGTACCTAGGCTTTTGTTATACTAGGAATAGGGAAACGTATTATGAAAAGAGCTCTAAATGGAGCTCTAGGAGCTTAAATAGAGAACCTAGAGCTTACCAAAGTTATTATTATAAAAGGATTTCACCTTAATATTGTTTCTAAAGCTTATCTACATGAGAAAGGCGTATGGCTATTAGGTTTAGATACCACGCTGCGCATTGGAACGCTTAAGAAGAATGTTATTCTAGCAACACTTAAGCGTGCTCATAAGTTCACTTTTATTAAATATAACCCTATCTCCACCTATACGCCTACCACAGTAATAATAAGCGTGATACGTTTGCCTAGGAACTCATAGACTTCATACCCACGCTTAGACAGCGAGTAACTATGGCACTAGTAATTAGGATACCTAGGGCTAGAAGCTCTACAAGCACTAGTATATAAGGTACGTAGGGTACATATAAAAGGAACCTCGTGTATTTAATATAAGTACTACGCGATAACACATACAGCTTAGGTGATCTTATAACGCCTAATAGAGTATTCTCCAAGACCATATTAGAAGCTCTAGTGGGACTTATTCGATATGCCCATAGGGCGCTTAGGAGAATAGTGGTTCATGGCTATAAAGTGCAACTTTAGTAGATAAATAATCGTGTATACGCTCTAGTCAAAATCTTAGATGGAGATCCTAGAGACTATATAGGCACTTAAGCGCTTTATAGAAAGGAGATACGGGGTGCGAATTATAAGAATCCAGTAGGATAATAATACTATAATGCTCCCTTGGCGCGGTAAATTGCACTTCTAAGAGTGGGTAGACGAGTAAGGTATAGAGATTATATTAGCTCTACCATATACCTATAAACTAAATAGAGGTGTAGAGCACGTAGGGCAAGAAATAATTATATACTTAATAAAGATGAGGATAGGCGCCAACTTACCTCTATAGCTCTGGCTAGAAGTAGTGAGCACAGCAGCGTACCTTTATAATAGGAGCCCCTTAAAAGCTTATAATATGAGCTCGCCGAACGAGGTAATAGAGGAATAGTATATGAAAAATAGAAATCTAGTACACAGCATAAAGGACTTATAACCTAATTAGAGTGGGGTATACGCATATAGCTGTTAAGCCTACCCACTTAATAAAAGATAAGTAGTGGGACTTAATAGGCGTAGGTTTAAAGTGAACCTAAGAGCTTATATTAGGTATCTTGTAGGCTACATTACTATAAATATCTATAGGATATAGGTTCCTATGCTTGACTAAGTTATTACCACGTAAAACGTAACGTTTAATAAGAGTCTTTTCTATAGAGAGAAGCGTAAAGAGCTTCCTAAAGAAGAAGCTATTAAGCTTATGCACCTACTACACGAGGTTCTAGTAGACGAATACGAAGACGCGAGCGTATAGT